CCAAACCGATGCAATTAAATACAATACTGCTATAAAAACTCTACATGAAAATGAAGAGAAATTAGAAGTTCAAATAAAGCAGCATGTGAGTTTATCAAAAACTTGGATGTTGCAAAACTCTGATTTATTAACCAATATTACCAAAAATCAGGAACGGATAGGCGATGTTTTAAATTCTATGATAAAAAATAAAGACTCGGACTTTACTTATTTCGCCCATATGGCCCAACATCTACTTATTTTAAGTGATAATATAGATAGCTTATTCGAAGCTCTTCATAAGTTAAATATACCTTAGGTTTTATACGTGCATCGAGCACACCACATACAGTAGTTAGTTTAGCTGAAATTAAGAATATGTTAGTTAAATTAAGGATTTTATATTCGAATGATGAAATTCTTGACTTAGAATTAAGGGACTACTACGATATAATTAGGCTAGGATACTTTTATATGGATAATCAAATAGTTATAGTCTTTAAGATGCCGATTGCCTTCCCTCAAATTTACAACTTCTATAAACTATCCACTATACCTAATAAGAATAATCAAATCCTCCTACCTACCTTACCGTATATAGCAATTTCTGGAAACGATTCTACGTACATGGAGGCTGAATGCCCGAAGGTAAATTCCTTGTACCTCTGCGAAACTAAGACAAGATACGAAAGACCAGATGAACCGGACTGCATCCAGCACCTGATCCTCCACCAGGAACTTCTCCCATCATGCAAACTTACTACAGTCAAATTGAGGAAAGAAGCCGTTGAACAACTAGATGAAAAGCATTACACCATAAATTTCCCACGACCCACAAAGGTGAAGATAGTCTGTAAGCAGGAAATCCACAAAACTCTAGAAGGAAGCTATCTGGCTGTCATCCCACATCACTGCTTTATCAAGACACCACATTTCACTATAGCAAATTCCAACAACCACATTAAGGGATTTGCTCTGGAAATCATACAACTGCCTACATCTAATGAGCTACCGGCGTCAAGGGAGCCACCAGTCATACTAAACTCTATTGCCTTAGAAAATCTGCACTCCATTAATAAGAAGATAATGTTAGAAACTCCAGTAGAATTGAGCAACGTCACCGATATGAGCCTGTACCATACAACTATTCCTGTCTACCTTATACTACTCGGTGCAGGTGCACTCATTATTGCACTGATGTATCGTCAGCAGCGATCACAACATTCTCAGAAGAACCAGTCTTTAGAAGGTCATAATTTAGCAGCTTCTAGAGAGAGTGCTGAATCCCAACAATCAAGGAAGATTAATCCCAGCGAGATTATAATTGACCACAGCAATATTTCATCATCCCTTCCACGCGAGATTTCGAAATAGTTGCTGATCTTCGGGGGGAGGTGTTACGCTACGGTGCAATAGACGGCCCAACGGTGTAAATGAGGAACTTTTGTGCATCGCGACAACTTTCCGTACACGAGGCGCGAACTCAGCATAAATTGTCGATCTAATTTCAACCCGTGTAAAGAGCGTCATTCTTGGTACAACATCGACCAATTATCACCTACTTATTGTAATTTTAATTAATTAAAGTTATATTTTAAGAAACAATTTGGTTTCCTTTGCATCCTCCGGCTACAGCCTACGTAATTCAGGAGAAAACACTAATGTGGGGCAACGTTTAAAAAAAATATTCCTATTAAATAAATTCATAGCAAAACTATTGAACTCACTCACACAAGCGCAATATCCAACAAGAGCTGCTAAAACTAAATTGATGCTCATTGCTAGAAATATTCCACACTCCATGTAGGCCGCATGCAACACCACCAGGCTACCACCGAGTCCATACATCAACATATGCACCATTGATACTATGATGCTGAAAATATTAAACAAACTGATAACATAACTAAGTTTTTTTTAAGGGGGGGAAATCAACGGTAGGGCGTGTCAGACTCTTACTGACTAAAAACTCCCCCGTTCCTAGTCCTGCACTTTGAGCCGGAGCCCTGGCAACCCGTTAAGTTCTCCGCGGCACATCTTATTCTTCTGTGAGTGTGTATGTCACTGAACTTCTCTCAAACGACTGGACCGATTTTGATGAAATTTTTTTGTGTGATCAAGGGGATCTGGGAATGGTTTAGATTCACAAATCAGCCCGGCAGATGGCGCTGTAGTCGATGTTTAGGTTATTTATCCTAAACAGCTGAACTAATTTGAATGAATTTTTGTTTATACATTCAAGAGGATATGCAGGACAACGTCTGTTGTGTCCGCTGGTAACTACGTATAAGTCTGTATTTTGTCACTTGAAAGAAGGTTATATTTATCACAAAACTGATGACTGTGTTTGGCATGGAGAACTAAAAAGGAGTTGGAGACTTCCAAGTGATGATAATGATGATGACTATTGGGGTAGACGTGCTCAAAAGTGAAGATTCAGTCTATCAATATCAACAGCCTATAAGTGGCCACTGCTGACTAAAGATCTCTTCACACACGGAGAAGGCTTGAGCATTAATGCCCGCCCACCATGCTTGCTTAATGCCGGTTGGTGAATCCAAACTTATAATTAGAAATTATAAAGTCCAGGTTTCCTCACGATATTTGCCTTCACCTTTTGTCAATGATGTCCAACTACATATACCATAACTCGGAAAAGGTCACATTGGTACTTGCCGTTGGCAGGTTTCGGATCCGCACTTTCATGGATGAGAAGCCTCAATCTTAAACCTCCGAGCCACCACGACCCAAATTGAATTATTAGAGATCTCTATCTCAACAGTGAACGAAAAAGAATTGGTGATCATGTCATAAATAATTGCACTAACTTATTTGGCGATGAACGTATAGTCCTATTGGATTTGAAGTCATAATTCTGAGCATCTATTGGGTTGTTTATTTCTTTAAAACTCTCCCGAACACCACGAAAGTAGCTAGGTAGCTAAAAAATAAAAATATATGAGTTCATGTAAATTTCACCCTGGTTACACACACACGAATATTGATTTTAAGGCTAAGAACTTGGTCCATGATTTTGAAGTCCATAAATTAGAGTTAAGTTCAAAGGATTAGTAAGCTGAAGGATCAGAATGGGCTGGCTATGTCTACAAAAAGGTTTTCGAAAGCCAGTTGGATGTAGAAGACGAGGATCGTATTGGCACGGTATAAAAGGAGCTGATGTCCAGCAGTGAATCTCTTTAGGACTATCATGATTAAAACATCAAATAAATTCCATGGAAGAGGCATTCTCCGGCACGAATAGGCCGATTTACAAAAAAATATGTCATCTCAAAAGATCGACAACGCATTTGTAACTGCTCTGGTGTTGCGGGTGTCCATGGGCGACAGCGATTGCTTACCATCAGGTGATCCATCAGCTTAATTGTCCCCCTAATCCGTAATATAAAGATATACCTAGTCTTATTAGTTTACTTTTACCGATATTTTTGCATCATCTACGCTAGCTGGTCCAAGTTCTGGATCAGATTTCTTTTCTTCTTGTTTCTTTATTTGGTTAGTCGTCATCTGTATTGAGTCGCCCATATTTTTACTGTCTCTCGTTCTAGAAACCTCATAAGGTTTGGTTCAGTAATTATAAATATACTTCCGTACTACTTTTCATAGTACGAAGGCTCGCGGTAATGTAACGTAAGTATTTATTACAGTTATCTCTTGCTTATATTATGTATTCTACTTTCTTTGCTATATAGTTTCTCTTCGTTTGTAGCACATATAATACGTTTAGAATGTACGTTTTAATTATTAAATAAGTAAGTATAATCAACTATAACAAGCTAAAAGTCAATGTCGTAAGCTGACTTTAGCTGACAGATAATGACATTTTTCCCCTTTATTTAGTTCTCTTTGGACATTTTTAGTTTTTAATCATGGATAAGAGCTTTTTTTTTAAGGGGGGAAAATCATCGAATGACTGCTCCCGCCTGGGTGAGGCGGAAGGGAGTGTCAGACTCTTACTGACTAAAAACCACCCCGTTCCTTCTCCTGCACGTCGAGCCGGAGCCCCGGTTACCCGTTAGGTTCTCCGCGACGAAAGAGCTAGGCTATGGCTAGACTGCATTTCCTTTATACTTAAATTAAATCGTTTGCGTGATTTACACAATAATAAAAAAGTCCCAAAAAAACTTGTTCTATAAACTTTTAAAAAATAGTTCCTTTCCACAACTTTGCCGGTTCATTTTGACCTGTTTTAGGCCTATAAAGAACTCTTTACTTTCAATAAAAAATGTTGTGCGGACCTCGTGGCGGTTGCTGCGAGGGTTGCTGTTGCCCATGTATCACTATATACTTGCTGCACGAATATTTGCCAGTGGTATCCGAGATTTTGCCCGGAAAAGGCATGGTGTCTGCGTCGAAATTGGCGCTTGAACGCCTTCATGTTTGTCTTCGAAGTCAATCCGTGCCGTTTTGTGAAAATGAACTACTATAAACTACTTATTGTTCTCATTGCTGAACTTTTATTAATTGCGAGTTTTTACCTTACTTTTATCCATGATTCCAAGTTTTTGGGGTCCTGGGTCCGGTTAGCGAGGCTTGAAAAAGTATTATTGATGTCCAATAAATATTATTATCTGACATTGCCATCCGTGTATGCAAAGCTTTACCTTCAACAACTTTGCTTACTTTTTGGTAACTTCAAGATCCACAAGTTAAATGTCATTTCGAATCAGTCATTTTTGTTAATGTTTACGATTACAGTTATTGTTGAAGATTTTTATTTTATTTTATGGAGTTTTGTACTAAAACCTAACATATTTTTTATAATTCATTTCAATCAACAACTTTTGTTTAGTGATATTAAATGATTTTGTAGAAAGAGCAGAATTTGATTCTTGCAAGTTGCAAAGAAATATCTTACTGTTGGTTTTTAGATAGCAACCTGTAGTAAAGAAGTAATTTTATACACGTTTCGGAACTAAATTAACGATTCATCATGATCAAGAAACCTGCCAGCTAAAGTGACATCAAGCTTTATTGATAAAGGGATGATAAGCAGTGACACAATGAAGTCGAGAGCCACACAAGTCTACATCGTAGAAGAAATTAAAAAAGCAGAACCTGAACATAGTGAGAAAACTTCAGACCCAGTTATGACGGTAGGTTTTTAAAGTTAAAAATCAAATCATTACATAATTAACTTGTGTATGTGAACTTTTATGTTTGTAAACGCACCCACGACACAGGAGAAAATACTAGTGTGGGGCAACGTTTATTAAGATAAAGATAAAAAGATACTGCCTCATTGGCCGAGTGGTTGCAAGTGCGACTGGCGGGCAAGGGGTACGATTCCCGGGTCGGCCAAAGTATTACTGGGTTTTTTTAAAAAATTCACTGTAGTAGCACGGAGTCTGGAAATGTGTCTGGTATATGGCAATAGGCTCATCCCCTATTACATGGGACTCATAACATAAATAGTGAAAAGTGGGTGTTACATTGTACAGTGGCATTAAGTGCTGTAATGTGCACCTCTGCCTACCCCTTCGGGGATAAAAGGCGTGATGTTATGTTATGTATGTCATACTTCAATTACACATTGTACTTATCCAAGAAACGATCTGGTGCTCAAAAGAGATAAATCCTTACTAATATTATAAATCGGAAAGTGAGTTTGTTTGGTTGTTCCGCTTTCACGCCGTAACTACTGAACCGATTGCTTTGATTTTTTGCAGACGTAAAGTTAGAAGTCCGGATTAAATAATAGAGTACTTATTATCCCTGAAATATTTGATATTCCCGAGGGAAAACAAAAGTATTGGTATAGATGGCGCTGTGTGTATTGGTATATGCCACATAGGCTACTTTTTATCCTTTTGTGACGCGAGCGAAGCCGAGGGTAAAAGCTAGTATAGAATTTATTAATATTTTCAACAGATCCCAGCCCAACTCGATGACTTCGGTCCTCCGGCCAGGTTTATCGAGCAGAATAATCCCAAAGAAGCTTTATGTTATGATTTTCGTGCTGCGAGAACTAACCTGCCCAGGCCTAATGGGTAAATACATAATTCCCCTCTTTACTTTCATAATATCTGCCTTTTTTTGAGGGGAGAATATCATCCAATGACTTCTCCCGCCTTGGGTTAGGCGAGAGAGAGTGTCAGACTCTTACTGAATACAAGCCACTCCATTCCTAATACTACTCTTCGAACTAGAGGCAACCCGCCTCCCGCGGCTATTATAATAACTGTCTTTGGAACAAAATTTCAATGTGATTTTGTATATTATACATATGTTTTTTTGTTTACAGACTCGTGGGTTCAGTACTACATATGTTGACGTATGGTTTGGGCGCTGGTTTCCATAATATGCATGTGGCCTACCGAGAGTCCGGGATTTGGACTGGACTTGTTCTAAATGTTCTTTTAGCCGTCCTCGTTGGATATTGCTCCTGTGTAAGTGAACAGGATTTTTATTACTCAGAACATTAAATGAGGTGACTCTAGTTTGACTTTAGACATTTTAATTTTGGATTACCTGTATAAAATGAAATTTTAAGTGTGGAAGAACCATGCTTTGACACGAATGAGCCGGCTCGACCGGAGTGATACCACGGCTGAGCAGAAAACCGTCGTGAAACCTTGCGTTGTGTTTCGTCGTCTGAGTGAGGTTACCGGAGGCCTAATTAACACCCCTCCCCTTTCCCCCAATCTCCCCAATCCCTGAATCAACAACAATCCTCAAATTTCTAAAACCCAAAAGGCCGGTAAGATACTTGTAACGCCTCTGGTGTTCCATGTGTCCATGGGCGACGCCGATTGCTTACCATCAGGTGATTCGTCTGCTCATTTACCGGCTTATCCTATTAAAAAAACCATACATCCTGGCAACCGCCGGCAGTCAACCAACCAGCAATCAATCAACTGTTATCGTATCGATATAAAGTTGAAAATCGAATGAATACACTTGGAGTCAGTCAATCGGCTATCGACTGTATCTAGGCGGGCTGGGTTTTCGCATCAAGTTACATTGTTAATCGAATTTTCAAATTTAAATTTAAGTCACCCAACGCAGCAAGGACATTAGGATTCATCATCAACAGCCCATGAATGCCCACTGCTGAACAAAGCCTCTTCTCACACGGAGAAGGTTTGAGCATTATTCACCACGCTTGCTCAATGCGGGCCCATGTTTCCTCACGATGTTTTCCTTCACCGTTAGTCAGTGGTGTCTGAATAATTTTAAAAAGTACATAGGTACATATAACTCGAAAAAAGTCACATTGGTACTTGTAGTTGGTAGGTTTCGAAGCCGCACCCTCATGCATGAGAAGCGGGCGTCTTAAACCTCCGGGCCACCACGACATTTTAGGATTATGATTATGGCATACTTATTTTCAGCTGTTGATAATGTTCTGGCTGATAACGATGACGGTAAAATGTTTCAGATATTAGTATGGTCTGCCCAAAAGATGTATGGACGTGTCCAGATACCAATTCTCAGTTATCAGGACCTGGCTGAAGCTACATTGCTTCTCAGTCCTTGGCAAAGTGTGAGAAGATTTGCCAGAGCCTTTAGGTAGGTCTTAGATAGAAAGTTTTTTGAAAGCTCTCTGAGATTATGGGAAGTACTAGTTCTATTTTGATTATCATGAGTGAGTGAGTGTCAAATGACCTGTAAACTTGAAATTTTGGATTTTAAGCATGTGATTATAGCTTACTGGATGGCAAAAATTTTTGCGTTCTGATCTTATTCAGAGGTTCCCAAATAGGGGCCTGAAAATGCGGCGAAATGGTTCCAGTAAAGGATGGTACGGCAGTGTTTGCTTCAGTAGTAGCACGGAGTCTGGAATTGTGCCCGGTATATGGCAATAGGCCCCCTATTATATGGGACTGATAACATAAATAGTGAAAAGTGGATGTTATATTGTACAGTGGCATAATGTGCACCTCTGCTTACCCCTTGGGGGATAAAAGGCGTGATGTTATGTTATGTTATGTTATATTTTTTTGTTATTTTCGAGATTTTTTTATAATGCTGGTAGGTGGACGCGACCTTACCCTAAATGCCCATTATTATATCATACTCCTTAATTTTTTTTTTAATTTTCCAGGCATATAGTGGAATTTACGATAGCATTACATTGTTTCGGTTCATGCTGTGTCTTCGTAGTCATGATAGCGAGGAACCTGAAGGAGCTGGTCGAAGGTACGGGGTGCCTCAGTGATGAGGGAGATCCTCCTTTGACCGTATATATCATATCTTTGGTGATACCTTGCACTGCTGTGTGTATGGTGACCAATTTAAAGCATTTGGCTCCATTCGCAATCATAGCTAACTTTTATGCTGGTGAGTACAAATTAAAATCAAATGAGATTATCTTGCCGTCTCGTTGGCCGACTGGTCGTAAGTGCGACTGCCGGGCAAGGGGTCTCGGGTTTGATTCCTGGGTTGGGCAAAGAATTACTGGGTTTTTAATAAAAACGGAGTCTGGAAATGTGCCGGGTATATGGCAATAGGCTCACCCTCTATTACATGGGACTTATAACATAAATAGTGAAAAGTGGGTGTTATATAGTACAGTGTAATGTGCACCTTTGCCTACACGTTCGGGGATAAAAGGCGTAATGTTGTTGTATGTTATGTTTTATCTTGCCGTATAGTGATAGTAGAGTAAAATATATTATTCACCACCCCTACTCTTCCCGCGGGTATCATATACCCGACTATGGGACTACATATTTAAAAGCGTTCTGTGATAAACTTGATCTATTTAAACTGCAATCCAAACGTGGAGATTATGGGAGGCCCTATTAGGCTGTTGATGATGGAGAAATCGTAATTAAGAGAAACATTTGTGACGTGCATCGGATGGAAGGAGATTTTATCGGAATGCCTGAAGTACTGCGAGAGGAACTTAATGAATGGTACCATTTTTTAAAAAATAAGTTTTACTCTTCTGGTTCGTTGTATATGTTTTGTTCCAGTTTTATTGTTTGATTGTTAATTTTATTAATGTGTCCAGTTACTTTAATTGGTTTTTGTTCTCAACCGTTGTGACTGTACTAATAAATAAATAAATAAATAAATATTGAAAGAAAGAAGGAGGCCACATACTAGGAATCGCAGTGCTTGATATCCACCTATAAGGAAATAAAGGTCACATGGAGCCGCTTTTTTTTGAGAGAGAAAATCATCCAATGACTTTCCCCGCCCGGGTAAGGCGGGAGGGAGTGTCAGACTCTTACTGACTAAAAACCACCCCGATCCTACTCCTGCACTTCGAGCCGGAGCCCCGGCAACCCGTTAAGTCTTCCGCGGCTCCGTATCGACACCAGCCCTGTTGGGTCCCATCTGTGGTGGTCCGATGGATATAGTTTATCTCCAACCGGCCTACCTGGAAGTCACTAGGGACTGACCTTCAGCAGTGAACATCTTGAGGCTGATATGATAATGATGCCATTTCTATCAGTATTAATGAAAGAATTTCTTTATTTACAGGAGCAGTTCTCCTATGCACAATGTGGTATTGTTTTAAATATGCTAGAAAGAGTCCCCTAGACAGAAAAGGCTACAAAAATGTAATGGGAGTTTTTGAATTCATTGGTATTTGCGTTTTTGCATCAGAAACAGCGAGTATTGCTCTTCCAATTGAAAACAATATGAACAATCCTCGGGAGTTTCATCGAGTGATACTACTTAGTAAGTCGATTTATTTATGTATTAGCTTTTACCCGCGGCTTCGCTCGCGTCACAAAAGGATAAAAAGTAGCCTATGTGACATATACCAATACACACAGCGCCATCTATACTAATAATTTCATTTTCACTCGAGAATATCAAATTTTTCCGGGATAAAAAGTACCCTATTATTTAATCCAGACTTCTAACTTTACGTCTGCAAAAATTCAAAGCAATCGGTATAGTAGTTACGGCGTGAAAGCGAAACAAACAAACTCACTTTCCGATTTATAATATTAGTAAGGATTTCTCTCTCCGGTCGTTCCATCATGTCTGAGGGTCGTGATCGTCCTGGTATCTCACTGGATCGGACGAATTGTCTCCATTGGCTCCTGTCTACAGGCATTTGCATTGTGGTGCAAGAACCTCAATACTTTTTTTTATGGAATAGGAGGCAAACGAGCAGACGGATCATCTGATGGTAAGCGATCAGCGCCGCCCATGGACACCCGCAACACCAGAGGAGTCACAGGTGCATTGCCGGCCTTTTAAAAAGGAATACGCTCTTTTCTTGAAGGTTTGAAGGTCGTATCGGTTCGGAAATACCGCCGACGATACGATACTGGGTTCTCCTTGAGCTGGTCAGACCATCTGGTTAAGGACCGTCCTCAATTTATGCACCTAATTGAAGACAAATGAGCAGACGGATCACCTGATGGAAAGCGATAACACCTAGAAGTCACAAGTGTGTTACTGATGGCCTTTATTAAGGAGTACCTACGCTCTTGATAGTTTAAAGGTCATATCGGTTCGAAGATATCGCCAGCGACAATTTATTTCACAATTTTGTTGTATAAAGTAGAAACATTTTAAGAACTTACACGATTGTTCTCTGAGGTTAAGTCTAAAGGCGTCTGCATTTATATGTTCAATTCAATGCTTGATTCCAGCGATGCCGATTCTAACATCAATGACTATGGCTATCGGATTCTTTGGAGTGTGGCATTATGGAGATAATTCCATTCCACCGATACTGATACATTTTCCATATAAACCGTATGTAAAATTCTAATTCCTAATTTTGTGACTTTAAAAAGTTAGGGTAAAAAGCGATGCAGAATCAGTGTTATTCTCGATTTAAAAACTTGGAGATCTAAGGGCCGAAACACATAACTGCGATGCGTCGCCGCAACGCTAAAATCGGCAGTTTGCGTTGCGGTGCGTTGCGGCGTTGCGGCGTCGTGAAAAAGAGCGTTTTGTTGTCGTTCGGTAGGGTAACCAGTTCGTCGTGGTTTTTTATTGTGGATAGACAGACGTGTCTCTGTCATGGAACATCGTGAAAAACTTATTGCTTATTTGTTATTAAGAAGACATTACTCTGCTATGCTGGAACGAGCGCTGCGTTGCGGCGCCGCAACGCCGCAATGCAAACTGGCGATTTTAGCGTTGCGTCGACGCAACGCGGTTATGTGTTTCGGCCCTAAAACATTTATCGTTCGTCTCTTGAGAAACTTAAATTTTGAATTGAATACCAAATCTTAAACATCTGTTTATTTTGTCATTCTAATTAATCTTTCCCATCCTTCTCTATTACTTCTTTCTTTTTTCTCCAATTCCAGTTTCCCAATCCAGTTAAAAGTTTTTCTCTGTCTGATGGTATACGTCATCTATGCGACAACATTTCACGTCGGTTTTGACATACTCTGGTTCTACCTCAGAAAGATGCATCTAGCAGCTCGCTACAGACTTTATGAAAGACTTTATAGAACCATACTAGTCTGTGTCGTTACCGCCATCAGCTATTCTTTTCCAAATATACGGAGGATTATGGGAATTGTAAGTATATATTTTGTTTAGATTAAAATCTGACTTTTTTTAAAATGAAGGTTACATACCTTCACTTTTGCATATGGATGGTAAAAGTTATATCATGTGTTGCGTTACAAATGTCTTGGAAAGAACGAATAAGCCTATTGAGAAATCTTGCCACAGTTCTTGGCTCTAATCTTTGCAAAATATTTTGAAAATCAGAAGACTTCAATCAGGCATGTAACTGCTGCCCCAAATGGAAATAATTTGCTCAACTGATGAAATAAAACCCCTTTTCGTACCCCATCATCACCCTTAATGCAGTAAATGTCGTTCAGTAGACCAATAGACCAAAAGACCAGTAGACCAGTAGACCAGTAGACCGTTGTAAAAAATCTTTATTTTTCTTACAGGTAGGCTCTTCTTGCACCGCCCCATTTTTATTCCTATACCCTCCATTTATTGAGCTGATAATCGATTGGGCATATCCCGGCTTAGGGCAGCATAGGTGGAGATTACTGAAGTTTTTGTGTTTATTCATACTTGGTATTATTATTACAATAGGAGGTACTTATTATAATGTACTCATAGCTGCTATTGAAGTTTCTCAAGGACACGTTCATGTGTTTGATCCTGATGAAATGTAAGATATACTTGAGAGCAAACAAAAGGAGCCACTAGCGTTTTTTTGAACCGACTTTCCAAAAAGAAGGATGCTATCAATTCGGCTGTATGAACGCATTTTTTCATTAATTTTATCGAAGTCTTTATAGTTATTTTTTTTCTTTTACAACACAATGCTCTCATTTGAAAGTTTACCTTTTATACGACATACGTGACCAACTAAAAAAATACTTATATCAGAAAATATTTACCAGATAATGGAAATGAAAAAACACTAGTCAAAGTCAAAGCATTTATTTCAATTAAACCATAATTTAGTACGTTAGTTAATCTGCCGTCACCACTCGACACTGGCAGTATAGTCGACAACATCGTATTGGAGACTCGGTTGCCAAAGAAGAAAAAAAAATGTAGTACTTTTGAAACGTCAACAAATACAAAATAAATAATAGTCTAGTCTGTAAGTCTGCCCGTCAGTGAAGCTACGTGAAGTTAAGTGCTCATTTCAAAATATATCCAGACTCACTTATCCAAATAAAGTAATGAACATATAATTATTATAATTTACTAACATTAGGCTAAGTTGTACTACTACTAACATAAATATGGATGTTTTATCTGAAATAAAAATTTTGAATTTGAATTTGAAAAAATGTTGATTCGAATGGAGAAGAACGAGCAAGAAACTCAATTCGTTCCAAACTTGTGGCTCTGTTTCTTTGCTCTGTAGATTGAAGTATATCTTACCTATATCTTATACTTTTATACTATTATATAAAGCGGAAGAGTTTGTTTTTTTGTTTGAACGCGCTAATCTCCGTAACTACAAGTCTGATTTGAATAATTCTTTTTGTGTTGGATTGCGCATTTATCGAGGATGGCTATAGACTATAAAACATTACGCTACGACCAATAGGAGCTGACCAGAGCGTGTGAAACCGCGCGGAAGTAGCTAGTCATAGATAAAGGGGTAATGATTTGATATATTTTACTTTATTTATTGCGAATATATTTAATCTACGTCTTGTATTTTTAATGATTATGTATGTTTGATAGTATTTTATTAAAATGCAAATATCATGATATCCCAGTTTTATTTATTAAAATTATTATCATCATGATTACATTTGGCAATGTAAAATATATTGTTATTTTTAAATAGAAAACTATTTCATAAAATAAATACCTTTTTTATAATATTTAAAAATTCTAACTGGGTTCCATTCTTTATTTTATGAAATGAATATTTATAATTTAAACTTTTCAAAGTTCTAAACTTAAAATTCTGCATGATATCGAAGTCCGAGGCCAAATAGGAGGGTCCGAATGCCTCATATTTGTGCGTGTCGTGGTGACATGGGGATTTAAGACACCCACTTCTCATGCATGAGGGTGCGGGTTCGAAACCTACCAACGGCAAATACCAATGTGACTTTTACCGAGTTATATGTACTTTCTAAGATTATTCAGACACCACTGACAAACGGTGAAGGAAAATATCGCGAGGAAACCTTTATGGGCTTATAATTTCCAATTAAGTTTGAAGTCACCAACCCGCAATGAGCAAGCGTGGTGATTAATGCTCAAACTTTCTCCGTGTCAGAAGAGGCCTTTGGTCAGCAGTGGGCATTATAGGCTGTTGATGAGTCCCTCAAGCAGTTACTCGAATAACAAGGTTTCTTCTCGCAAAAGGTAAATAAAAATAAAACGACAATATTAATTATATTTACAAACATTAATCGTTTATTCGTTAAAGAAAAAATATATCACCCTCTTATATTTTAGGTATAAAGAAGGCACAAATACATTACGTGAACAATTACTTTACAATACACCGAACTATTATCGATAAAATGTCTACTATATCGATAAAAGGAATATCGACTATTGTACTTCACTATTACATATCGATATTATGGTAAAAATGCTATGACATTGTGATAGAAATTGTTTTTTGGACAAATTCTAATATTCTTAGATTTCAAAAAAGACATAAGTAAGATGGTTTTTTAGATATTGCATCGAGTTTAAATTAAACGTACTGTTTTTAACTGGTAATAGTGATGGACACGACAATATCGATAGAAAATCATATTTTGATTATTTCTTTTTCACAAAACATAGTAATAAATTGATTACGTTTCACTGGTATAATATTGGTAGCGATTGACGTTCCATAGTCTCTGCCTATCCCCATGGGAGACAGGCGTGAAATTATGTATGTATGGTACAATATTCTTTCTGTACCATTTTGCTTAGAATCAAAATTATTACTTGATTATAAAGTCTTTTTATACAGAAAAAAAATTATTAGCTGTAAAATTTTCCTATGTCCAGAAATCTATATTTAATGGTATTTATTTAAAACCTTTTTCTGTAATACACATTAAAGACTAGTAGGTAATATTTTTCACTAATATTTTAAGTTAAAAATGGAAGAATGTAACTATTTTATTTTATTTTAAAGAACTAAGCACCTTTATTGGAACTATTGTATGTTTGTAATAAATTACAGGCACATTGTTTTTAAATCTAAATCTTTATAACTGGTTATAATGTATAAATTCTTATTATTATTATTATTTCTCTGTAACACTTTGAACGCTAAAATTGAAATTTAATTTTAATTACAGTCGATTTTTTTTAGTTAATTTATGCGAATTACAGACTAATAGGTATTAGGTACAGATTTGGAAGAATGAAATAGAATTGTTTGAAAATTTAATTGTTTTTTTGTATAATGATTGTGTTGTTAAAATAATTTTGTGCGTTCAAAGGATTTATGGCAGCTATCTTGACTTGTACATTTTAGTCACTATTTTATTATTTTATTAAAACTACCGACAAGTTTAGCTTTAGGAGTAGGTTTTCCCAAAAAACATTAAAAAAAATAAAAAGTATAAACATCAAAAAAATGTTACAACCCATTTGTTATATAAAAAAAAAACAAAAAACAGTATTATTATACTCCTACTAATTCCCAATAGATGCGTTAATGATATTCGAGATTTGACACAAAAATATGTCAATTATTTTTTTTATATTCAAAATTAAAAAAAAGTCCTAAAGCCACACTTGCCTTTAGAACGTCACTATTACATTTAAAAAATAATTATTCATTATTGTACTTTTTAACCATTTACATTGAAAGCGTTAGCATAATATAAAATAGAAGAAAAACATCGTACGATAGTTTTATCAAAAGCCAAAGATTCCTAATTAAATTCTACAGTTTAAATATTTTTTAATAATTAATTAATAAGCATTTAATCAATTGTAATACATAATTAAAATAAACTTATACATACTAATGTGGTCTTAAATACACTTTGGTAATATGTACCTAATAAAAAAACTATATTTAGTATGAGAAAAAATCGACTAAATGTATAAACTAAAAAAAAATAGCAGACTAAATAAAGACTTACTAATTTATTTACCTTATTGTGTTTTTTTTTTAATTTGAAGAGAAAAAAGGAATCGATTTGTTAAAAAAATAGTTTAGTACTAAATTCAGTGTAATAGGTAAGTATTTAAAATTAGAATTTGTTTTTTTTTTCTCAACAACAATAAATATTTACATTGCTAGAAGCCGGTCGAAGTAGCTGTCATTTTTATTTAACATAATTTTTCTTAATTAAATTTATTTTAAAAAGCTGCGTTTTTGAAATGCTTTTCTAAATATATTTTAATAAAAGCATACAACGGATTTTTTTAAATTCCTAAGTCTTGAATTTTCTTTTTTTTAACGTTCCAATATTTAAATCTAACGGAAATTAAAGACGATGGACCTGTCAGCTGATAGTTTTTCTTTTTTATTTGGATATTTCCTTTCTCGAGTACATTTAGATGCCTTTTATATTTTTAAGAATAAATTCTACCAGCTGATTGGCCCGTTCGCCATGTAGTAGCTCAGACAAGTTAACCAACAATTTATCAATCAAATTTTAAGTATCTTCGCAAAACTTAAGTTTCAAAAATTTCATCTTATACTAAAAATAAAAATTAATTTCCTTACCATGTATTCTGTACAATAATATATAAAGAAAACTCATGGAACGGAGACAAAACAAACAGAAAAAATTTGATTACCAGCCTAAAAAAAATTTTACAAAAAAATCAGTAATTTTTTACTGTTTTTTTTTTACGATATTAGCAAAATTTTGAAGCGATTAATTTATAATGTAATTAACAGCGTAAAATCGTTTTGTCTCGGATAATAAATCGAATACTTTTGATAACAATAAATAAGTTATGCTAGTTTTATTTTAAAGCATTCGAACGAGAAGATACATCAGGATTGTCGTTAGTGCAGAGTATACTGGCCGAATGGAATGCGCACCACCTGTGTTATCACGGTACACTGAAAAAAAAAACAAAAATATATTATTGACAGTTCTTCTCACCTGACAGCTATCAGTTGAACAATTATATTAAAAAAAAACAGAAAATAATGCAAAAAAACAAACAAAAAATTACCTGACGCGGTCTGGATGTACAGCGACTGTGGATCTTCTAAATAAAAAAAAAAGAAAAAGCAAAATAATAAAACATGTTAATAATTACGAAAAACAAAAAAGTGTAAAACAACAATAAAAAGTGCAAAAAAAATAATTTAGAAAAAAAACAACGTAATACATTTGCCAATTAATTTCTTAAAAAAAATGTGTAAGTAAAGCCACCTGTCACTAGATGGCGTTAAAAGTTAAAAAGGATTAGAAACACTTATCAAACTGCAGAATTGTAGAACATGATATTTTTTCTATGACTACAGAAGCGTTAAGAATTTTAAATATTAAATTTTCAATAATTCCAATACAGACGAATCTAGAGATCGAATCTAGATCTTTGTATTTAACAATTTATAAGCGTTATTGAATTTTAAAATACTTTTGTAGTACCTGTATTAATTCAGCTATCATTATGATTTTTTTGAAAAACCAAAAAGACCTATTTGTTTTGTCTGAACCGGGAATCGAACCCGAAATCTCTTATTCGATATATGCGACTGCTCAACCAACGTGTTCTAACAAGTTCCTCTCCAATTTAAAAAAAAAATAGGCAGCCTATGTTCAGTAGTGGCCATCTTGTAGCTAACTAAATACTGATAAAATAAAAAAATACATACGAATATTAACAGTAACCGGTTCGTTGGAACCGCCCCAGCTCTTGGAGTTCTTGACCTTCACGACGGCTAAGTATTCTCCAATTGGCAATTGTTTGTCCTCCAAAGAGTAGCTGATGTCATATTTGTGGTGTTTGCCTTCAGGCACTGGGACTCTGAGGGTACGCCATTCACCGTCCTGCAGGAAACGTAAGAATTGGTTAAAGGTCTAGTGGTAAGACAGGTATGGTTAGGGTTGCCACCCGTACTATATAATAAAGTATTGTACGTTATTTAAGGTAATTGTACTCTATACTTTATAATAATAATAAAGTACACGAAAATACTTTATTTTTACAAAATTCGATATCGATGTTTATCGACTTACGTTGAATCGATTTCGCCACTCGCCAGCGCCACTTAGACAATTTCTAGTAAAGATGCAATTGTTTAGTAAATATACTAATTTAATACAAACTGCAAAAAGCAATAAAAAGTATATTTTTAAATATAATACTAAATAAGAATAAATTGTACTTTATTTTTATACTGCGTACTTTTTTTTCTTACCTATAATCGTCATTGTACTTTAAATACCAAAATAAAAGGTGGCAACCCTAGGTATGGTCAAGTTTTGTATGGTATAGAGATAAATAAATAAATATTGATTCAGTAGATTAGAGGAACTTCCACAGTCAAACTATTGCTACGATTTTGTGGGGCTTACATTATTAGATACTTACCTGTGTGATTTAAAGAAAAATAAAATAAGAACCAATGGTTAGCTACTAAGCCAAACGGGTTGATAGTGACAAAAGATATGCCTTCGTTAAATAGGTATTCTATTCGGTAACCTAGCAGACGGATCACCTGATGGTAAGCAATCAGCGCCGCATATGGACACCTGAAACATCAGAGGTGTTACGAGTGCGTTACCGGCCTTTTGGGGATTAGGAATTTCAGGATTTTTTGGGTTCGGAGATTGGGGAGATTGGGGAGGGGGGTGATTGGGCCTTCGGTAACTTCACTCACACGACGACACACAAAACAAGCGTCTATGAGGCGAGGTATCACTGCGGTCGAGCAGCCCTATTTGTGCCGGGCTCTCACACATCTACTTTTACTTGATCACATCTAAAAGTACTTACGTCACTGGTAGCCTTAAGTTGCACTTCCATATCCTCAAGTGGTTGGTGTGAGTGGACAGTCCAGGTCATGCGTGGGCCGTCGATGTCCACATCTTCAACCACAGGGCTTTGCACCAGCTCGATGGAGCGGTTGTGGGTACCATAGTCGTTTTCAGCCTGGAAGTAAAATAAGGCTTTTTGAAATTTTTGCAACGACGAATGACTATATCGCTGTTAAACAGCAATGCTATTTTCTAAGAAACAGTTTCTAGGCTGTACCCTGCGTCGAATTCGTCGACGAGACAGTCTAGAGATCGACCGAGCCTTCAGTTTAGTTTAGATCTGAGATTATAGAGTTGACAGGAACCAATTAATTTCAGCTTAAAAGTTTGTCGAAAGTTTTAGAATATCTTTTGAGGTAGCCAACATAGCGCCTTTAAGTCTTCGAAAGGGTGCTTCCTGAGATAGTTCATGACTTCCCAAATTCAGTAATACGTGGTGAGGCTATTGACATAAGTGTACAGAAGCACAGAATTGAATAATAATTGCAGATACTCTGTGCAATTATTGAGACATTAGACAAACCAAAAAATGTTTACTTTGTTCCAATATAAAAGTTAAATTCGAAGCCCCTTTTTCGGTTATTGCCTTAAGAGTTCCTGTCCATGCCGCGTCAGTTGAAAAGTGCATACAGCCTACAAATTATGATGAGGAGATTTGAATAAGGACTGGGTGACAACGCCGCTCCGTGGACATAGTTTTAATTGTTTCCACGAAATATGCAAGCATTTGGGTTGATATCATCAGTTGACATAAGTGCGCTTTAGAATCATTCGACAAACGAGGCAATACTTTTTTTTAAGGGGGGAAAATCATCGAATGACTGCTCCCGCCTGGGTGAGGCGGGAGGGAGTGTCAGACTCTTACTGACTAAAAACCACCCCGTTCCTAATCCTGCACTTCGAGCAGAAGCCCCGGTTACCCGTTAGGTTCTTTGCGACTCCAAATCGGCTCTCCACGACTCCGAATCGGCTGTTCTAAGGCAGACAGAAGTCTCCCAAAAAATCATAAGATATTTAATATCAAATCAACTTACCTCACAAGTGAAGGTTCCGAAGTCCCCATCAGCAGAAGGTGACACCGTCAGGTTGGAGTGCGCTCCCTCCGTGCTGATGACGTATTTGGTCTCACTATCCTCGATCAGAACACCATCTTTGTACCAACGGATGTGTGGCCTGGAATGTGAAGAAAAATGGTCGTTATTACTTATAGCTTAATGACTATTGTTTCTGAACACAGTGAAGTTAAGTGTTTATGTAATTTTCTGTTTTATCCAAATAAGTTGGCAACAGTACAGAATGTAAGCTAAATGTAGCTGATAATGTTCAGGACAGTGTTCCGTCTACAATCTCCTAGCCACTAGAGTGTACATACGGCTACACATCGAGCATTACATAACCAGTATAAACTGAACGTTAAATGTGCGGAAAGATGATGCGATGCGACACCAGGATAAACTGGTTTTGTATAGATTGATGTGTGGTCGTGTGTACGATATCCTTGTACGATATCCTTATCCTTAAGGGTAGCCTTAGCGGGTTCTTGATTAGGCTTGATTGTTTTATAAGATGAAGCACATCATTGTGATCGAGAGCCCGATCTAATCTGAAAGTGTAACCTCAAAGATTGAGCTGACGTCTACTCGATACGATGGCTTTATCTAGAGGTAAATATGTTAAATGTAACTGAAATGAAATTGTAATTTGTTTGAGAGGGAACATCATTCAGCGACTTCTCCCGTCTTGAGAGAGGGCGGTAGGGACTGTTAGACTGACTAAAAACACTGTAATTGTTACCTGGCTTCCTCGTGGGCGACACACTGGAGAACAGCTTCAATCTTAAGGTCGGAGTTGACAATGGTCCTTGGCACATGGACTTGAGGTTTGCCTAAAAAAATAAACATCTTATGAACTTCATTCATCAACAGCCTATAAATGCCCACTGCTGAGCAAAGCCTCTTCCCACACGGAGAAGGTTTGAGCATTAATCACCACGCTTGCTCAATGCGGGTTGGTGATTACAAACTTATAATTAGAAATTATAAGTCTAGGTTTCCTCGCGATGTTTTTTACGATGTTATGAACTTATTGATCTTCAATTGAGCACTTGTCACTTAACAGTATGAGTGTCGGAATGTTGTCAAAATTGGCATGCTCAATGCTCATTCTAGGCATGTTTTCGAATGGACAGGCTTTCGATTCTTGCACATTTTTGAGTATACTCAGAGGGCTTAGAACAAGTTTGTCTTATGTTTAAAATAATCGAAACGAGACCTCGTTCGGCGCTCTGAGGGCCAAGCACGAATAACTATCGCATTCGTATCGCGAGTTAAGCGTTCTGATTGGTTGGTTCACTTAAGCCGGCCAATCAGAGCGCCGAACGCCCTCGATACTATTACGTTACGAATGCAATAGTTATTCGGGCTTGGCACTCTGATTGGTTGGTTCATTGATACCGGCCAATCAGAGCGACGAATGCTTACTCGTTTCGATTACTTTACACGTAAATCAAATTCGTATTAAGGCCTCTGAACTGTTTTTAGCATACTATTTTAGACTGCCTCCTTGGCCGAGTGGTCGCAAGTGCGACTGCCAGACAAGGGGTATCGGGTTCGATTCCCGGGTCGGGCAAAGTATTACTGGGTTTTAAAAAAAATCTCAGTAGTAGCACGGAGTCTGGTATTGTGCCCGGTATATGGCAATAGGCTCACCCCCTATTACATGGGACTCATAACATAAATAGTGAAAAGTGGGTGTTACATTGTACAGTGGCATAATGTGCACCTCTGCCTACCCATTCGTGGATAAAAGGCGTGATGTTATGTTATGGTATGTTATTTTAGAAAATATGTAATAGTTCCTTAATGTAAGAAATCTTACCTTTAACTTCAACGCTGGCTTCTACTTGGTCGCTGCCCAACTTGTTGATAGCATAACAATAGTATTGACCGGCATCTTTGGTCTTCACGTTCTTAATGCGCATGCTGTACTGGTTTCCGTCCACTTTGAATTCTGCGTCCGCCTCTGTCAAGCGCACATTCTGTGGGAGGGAAAGAGATAGTTATACATTTTGGTGTTGCGTTGCTATTTTGAATGGACGCGCAACCAAATTTGGACACCAGCAGCTGTAGCCAAATGCCACTTAGCGCTTGTCTACATGTAGAATAGAAAACTAAATTATATGGAATTGACGTCAATTTTGACACTTGTCAGTGTCTTCCCCATACATTTTGATTTCTACTCTCTCTGTAGACAAGCGCTAAAGTGGCGTTTGGCTAAAGGCCCAGGTGACTTACTCATATATTGTGTTGGTGGCGTCAACTGATTGAACTACCATAGTGTCCTGGTGAAAGACAGTCCTAACAGTCGTGATATGAAATAAACATAATTACAATGTATAGTACATTTCCCGTGTCACTACTTACGAATATTTATAGCTCAGTTTCTGAGAAAGCCGTCACAAACCAAACGTTCGAGTTATTCTGTTCATATTCCTTAAGTAACGGAAGTTGTAGGTTTATTAATAAAATGAGACGGTACAACGTTTCTAATCGTGTCATATTTGTTGGTTATTTTGCAATGGATTCAAGTTAAAAGAAAACAAAGTATTACTGGGTTTTGTATAAAAATCTCAGTAGTAACCTGGAGTCTGGAAATGTGGCCGGTATATGGCAATAGGCTCACCCCCTATTACATGGGACTCTTAACATAAATAGTGAAAAGTGGGTGTTACATTGTACAGTGGCATTAATGTGCACCTCTACGTAACCCTTCGGGGATAAAAGGCGTAGTGTTATGTTATGTTATTCAAGTTAATGTAAAAACACTTTTTTGTTTCTTTGTTTGAATGTACTGATCTCCGAAACTGGTTCGAATTGAATCATTCTTATTGTGCTAGATAGTCTATTTATCGAGGAAGGTCATAAGCTATAAAACATCGCGCTAGATCAGTAGGAGCCGAGCACAGCGGGTGAAACAACGCAGAAAAAAGTTTTCTATATGATACCTAAAAGTAAGAGTGCAGTGGGCAGCAAAGCACCTCTGCTCTTTTCTATCTTTTTATTAGATTTTCAATTTCTGTCATTAAGTTACTATAAAGTCGAAAAGACAATGACAGAAATTGGGACATTGGAGTACATTTTTTTTATGGGATAAGCCGGTTAACGAGCTGACTGATCACCTGATAAGCAATCGGCGTCGCCCATGGACAACCCAAAACACCAGAGGCGTTACAAGTGCGTTACCGGCCATTTGGGGATTAGGAGGTTGAGGATCGTTGGGGATTCAGGAATTGGGGAGATTGGGGAAGGGGAGGGTAATTGGCCTCCGGTAACCTCACTCACACGACGAAACACAACGCAAGCGTTGCTTCACGTCGATTTTCTGTGAGGCCGTGGTATCACTCCGGTCGAGCCGGCCTATTCGTGCCGAAGCATGGCTCTCCCACACTCCCACATGGCTAAAGAGTCATAAAAAGCTAATAGGTAGATACTTACAAGGTGATCCTTCCTGGTGACAGACCAGATGACAGTTGGTACAGGAGAAGCAGTCACGAAGCAGGACAGAGTGAGGTCAGTGCCCTCGCCGACATTGCCTCCGTTAGTCGCTGTCATGTCTGAAAAATTAAAAATTTTCATTTAATTATGGTAATTATTACGAGCCAAGCTTTGTTCTGTATTTTAAGTTAGACTGCACGGTGGCTGGGCAACCGGCTGCCGCGCAACTTGCAGCGGATTCAGTTCCCGCACGGAGCAATTTGTGTGCTCCACAAATTGTTCAACCCACGACTTAGGAAAAAATGCTAACGACGTCTTATTGCAGATATAGAGAAGGAAAATAAATAACTTTTAAAAATTAAAATTTAAAACCCAATAATACTTTGCCGCAAAAAGCTTTACATAGAGAGGAGTGGTAGGAGGGTAGGGAGGCCAAAGCCCTGCAGTGGGACGATCATGGCTGAAAATAAATAAATACTTTGCCCGACCCGGGAATCGAACCCGAGACCACTTGCCCGGCAGTCGCACTTACGACCACTCGGCCAACGACGCAGTCAAATCGGAATGAATCAGCATCAATTCAGTTTTGGTCAAGTCTTAAGTGATGGTAATGCGTACCTAAACTGAAGCTGTTTGGATAAACAATAGGTCATAAAAACGCTTTTTTGGTTAATTACCCTGTGATTAGTGTATGTATTTAATTTACTTCACTATGACTCATACTAAAAGGGAAAAAGATGACAGAATCAGTCCTCTAAAATTTGGCTACTTTTAGCAATTTTGGAAAACAGGATTTTTTTAAAGCTTGGAGCCAGGATCTATTGGTAGATTTGACTACTATCCATAGTTCAAGAGTGAACGCCACAGAGATAAAGTAGCGTGTGCGAGCATTCATCATATGGAAGGTCACTATGAACAAATTTTTTTTAAATATTGATGTTTTGAAATTGCGCCTTTTCTTTTAGGTACACTTTACTCATCATTTAGTTATTAATTCATTTTAGAGAATTTTATAAATAATTTAGTGTTTTTTGATAGCTAATAAACCAAGGAACATTTTCTAATAGTTTTTACGATTAGTGTAATATCAATTTTTTAAGCTAAATGCAGTTTTGTATTGACCAAAATATTGACTCAAAACAAAATATGATACCAATTTACTTGCTATTTTAAAACGAATCATATTTCTGCCAGTATTAGTATTAATAAATGTTACTTGATGTATTGACAACATATTAAAACTAAAATCACTGAAATCAAACCACTAGTTTTTATTTATTTGTGTTTTTGTAGTTCGATCGGGATTTTTTCACCATAACCGAAAATGTTGAATATCTCAGAAACTAGCCAATTTCGGAGGAGGGCTAATTTTGGGAAAATAATAATGGTTCGAAAAACAAATTAATTTCCAGCGATCTGTGGCCGACTATAAAAATGGATCTTCGAATAACAAAACTAAACTTCCGAATAGAATATTGAACCTCCGACAAAATTACTAAGTTACCGACAACAGACGTTTTAGGTTAGGTTAGTATTGTAGCAATAAACAGTCATGTAAAGTAGTCGGAAGGTTAGTATTTTAAGCAGTAGATTTAATATTTTCAGTAAGGACAATTCTTCTTTTCTTGTAGCTTTTATTACTACCCCTAATTTTGTAGGCAATTAGTTATATTATCATCTCTCGAGAGGAATATGTCGAGTTACAAGTCACCCTGTATAGTTTTATAGATACTTACTGACAATAGCAGGTTTCTGTGTAACCAGCAGCGTGTGGTTGATGGCCACCGGCACCTTCTCAATGGTCTCGCACTTGAATACTCCACTGTCCTCCACCTTAGCATTCCTGATCACCATGTCTTTGGAGTTGTCCGCTCTGAAATTCAAGGGTGAATTATTGATGATTATGAGTCCCGGTCGTTGCTCGAAACTAGCCGAGCATCCAATAGATACGTAGCTAGTTGATTGATAGAGGTGAGAGTAACAAAGATCGCCTGGACTCGATTTAAATCTTTACTAATATTATAAATCGGGAAGTGAGTTTGTTTGTTTGTTCCACTTTCACGCCGTAACCACTAAATCGATTGCTTTGAATTTTTATAGACGTGAAGTTAGAAGTCCGAATTAAATAATAGGGTACTTTTTATCCCGGAAAAATGTGATATTCCCGAGGGAAAACCGAAGTATTGGTATAGATGGCGCTGTGTGTATATGTCACATAGGCTACTTTTTATCCTTTTGTGACGCGAGCGAAGCCGCGGGTAAAAGCTAGTGGTTTATAAAACTGCGACCAGCTGCCGAAGCATGAGTAGGAACATTCTCTAAATTTTTGATAACCTGTAATCCCCAAGCCACCTGGACCTGGCTCGCAGGGATTGTAGCAAACCCTCCTAAGAGAGGTTTTCGTTTAGCAGTAGACATGTACTACCTGATGATGATGATGATGTAGGAACAGCAATGGGGCCTTTTTTTTTGAGGGGGGAAAATCATCCAATGACTTCTCCCGCCTGGGTGAGGCGGGAGGGAGTGTCAGACTCTTACTGACTAAAAACCACCCCGTTCCTACTCCTGCACTTCGAGCCGGAGCCCCGGCAACCCGTTAAGTCTTCCGCGGCTCCGTAATGGCATCAGCCTTGTTAGGCCCCATCTGTGGTGGTCTGATGGCTCCTTGAGGCGCGCGCGGAATGCGACGCGCCGTACGCTCGGGCCTGGTTCTGGTCGGGCGGCGAGTCACCCATGCTCGCCGTCCGCAGGCCCGTGCTTACGGTGGCGGGAGAGGAGATCGTCTCGCGATCACAGTAATGGGGCCTACCGTGTTTTTGCTAGTGTGAACCTCTCGTTCATCGTCCAATAGGGGATTAGCTTCTATCACGCCAATGGACGTACAATATTTAATAGCTGCTGTGATGAAATCCCTTTCTTCGTTTGCACCATCTGGTGATAATACTTTGTTATACTTACATGGAATATCTGACTTCTTCAGGGTGCATCTTCATGGTTCCCATGAAGTAAGGGTCGTTGTTCCTGTTCCATGTTATCACGGTTCCTAGAGTGAACAGAAGCATAAATTAATTAACTCTTTGAGTACCGTCATTATAGACACAATTAAAAAAGAATAAATGTTGCGGTCACCGGTGACCGCGCGGTGAGTGAAACAAACAAGTGAAACAAGTGAATTTATTTCTGCAAATAGGCTACGGTGTTTGACAGTTTAAAATCTATATATATAAAAGAAAGTCGTGTTAGTTACACCACTTATAACTCAAGAACGGCAGAATAGATTTGGCTGAAAATTGGTAGGGAGGTAGCTTAGAGCCAGGAGACCGACATAGGATACTTTTTAACCAAAAATTTTTTATTTACTTTTTTCCAAAAATCACGAACGGGGACGGGAAAAAATGGGATTACGCATACGAAGTCGCGGGCAGAAGCTAGTATAATAAAGAAATAAGCTTTGATCCCCTGTAACGTCTACCAGCGAATTGGTGTGAAGAGTTTGTACAAAATTTAAAAGCTTTGCAATTTGTTCGAATTAAAAATCAAATTGCTCCAACGAAAATCGATGAAAAATTTAAGGAACCACCAAATCTAACCCTGGATCTGATGCTCATCCTTTACGATCAGATAAGGCAATTCTAAATTCATCAATAGATCAGATACAGCATTCATATACCTAAGTCCTGTTTAACGACATTTTTTATATGTATAATTCTAAACTTCTAAAGTCTATGTGAACTATTCTAATTTTATTAACCCAAGATGTCTGCCACAGTAAGTACAAGGTTCGTTTCCTGGTGAAAGCAATAAACGTTACAAACCGACTTTACCTTTAACGATTGCACTTAATTACAAAGATAGCCAAATCCGTCAGTTTACGTTCTGTTTGACAGTTAACCGGAACTTGCGCGTGCGCATTGGCGCCAGCCGGAAGCCCCGCCATTTTGTTGTGAACAACTTTTTATTGGGCAATGAATCATGGATGATTATTTTTTTAAAACTTGGGATGGGCAAAGGAAATGTTTTGATGCCAGTGTATATTTGGTGAGGAGGATGCATTTTTATGCAGTTGAAATTTAAATATTATTTTTGCATGCAATGTGGCACGATTTATTCGATGTGTGTGTTCCTTTACATTTTATTAAGGATTTGGTGCAAGCAAAAATCTCTGTGAAATGTATTTACGAGCAATGCACGGATTTCACATATTCTATTTAATAAAAACGGACAATAGAAGACTGGTTTACCGTAATTAGGAGAATAAAGACATGTCAATTTCTATATTACCAGTTTCATGTTACTTTGAATACCGTTTAAAATCGATCTATACTAGTTTCCGACCAGGAAGTCAAACCTACGAAGAACAAATAAGTTACTTACTCTCAGGAGTAACTTTGCACTCCAAACGTATCTCTCCTCCTGCTTCCACCTCGTAGGACGCTGGAGCAGTCTCTATGACTGCTGGCTCCATCTGTACTTGAGGCTCTGAAATAATAAATAAAATAAAATTGACTTTACGCGTTTCATTTCTCGATAAAGCAGGTAAAGGTGTGCACGAGTGAACCCCAATTCTATTGCTATATTCCGTGCTTGATTTAAGACCCCAGGAATACTTTTTGCTAACGGGAACTTGAGACCCTAGCTCGGTGGTTGCATATGACCTCTCAATTAGGCAGTAATTTGGCTTTCAATCTCCGTGTAAGTGAGGGTAGTTGAGGTCCAATCTCCCTTCCCCCCGCCCTCAAATGTAAAGCAGCGCACTTGTAGTTAACCTCCGGTGTTGTGGGTGTCCATGAGTGGCACTGATTGCTTACCATCAGATATCATCTCCTTGCATGTCGACTTATCTAAGTTAAAAATCATATGTCCTAATCAGTATCGAAACGTACCTGCATTTCCATCAGTGTCGTTCATTGTATCATCATCAGTAGCCTCGTCTCCAAGTAAGGGGTCGTCGTAGTTCACATCATCGGCCGCCTGCCGACGATGCATTGAATGGGCTTCTGTAACAAAAGATAAAATATTTGGTTAATTAACTTCTAGTCATATTTTGCAACTGACTTCTAGTCAGTGTATCGGATATTTTAGATTTTTCATTGTAAATTGCGCTATAATTTTATGGAAGTACAACTGAAATATATTCATTAACCTTATCAGAAGCTTCTGTATCTTTTCTTAACCATTAATTTCCATTTAATAGAAAAGGGTCGTTTAAAAGTATGTTAAGGTTCCTTTGGATAAGAACCAGTAGTAAACTTTTATAAGTTTTTCGACAATGAACCATATTGCGTAAGCCCTATTTTGAGAACTTTTTTCTCCTTCTCCAGCCCGGGTGAGGCGAGAGGGAGTGTCAGACTCTTACTGACTGAAAACCACCCCGTCCTTAATCTTACACTTCGAGCCGGAGTCTCAGCAACCCGTTAAGTCCTCCACGGCTCCGTATCGGCATCAACCGTATACCCCATCTGTGGACTACCACAGACTACGACAGACTACTGTCGCACGGGTCTGGTTCTGATCGGGCGGCGAGCTACCCTTGCTCACCGTCCGCAAGCTTATGGCCTGACATCATCTCGCGATTGCGTAAAGCCTAATTTTGCGATTTTTTGTCCCATAGATAGAACATTGCCACCATTTATGTAACTAAATAGTCCCCTATTATTCTAACCAATTGATCTAATAAACTAGTCAATAAATTAAAAACAAATGGTTTTAGTAAACTAATAGTAATTGGTGTCCAAAAAGGTGTTCTCTAGTAATTATCTACCGTAAAAGTAAAACAAATGAACATTTAAAACAACGCGTTGTCTTAATAAAGTGATTCCGTGCTAAGTAAAATGTATTTTACTTCAGTTACCGACTATAGTCATTTCGTATTGGTGTGGGTAAATAGTTGTTGTGTGGTACAAGTGATTGAACTTTTGAAGTTTTATATGATACTTAATTAAATAAAGTGTGGGAGAGCCATGCTTCGGCACGAATGGGCCGGCTCGACCGGAGTGATGCCACGGCCTCACAGACAACCGACGTGAAGCAACGCTTGCGATTCGTCGTATGAATGAGCCTACCTACTACTACCTACCCTTCCTCCTTCCCCAATTTCCCCAATCCCTGAAACCCCAACAATCCTTAAAAGCCTAATCCCCAAAAGGCCGGTAACATACTTGTGACGCCACGGGTGTTCCAGGTGCCCATGGGCGACGCCGATTGCTTACCATCAGCTCGTTTACCGGCTTCTGCGATTTAAAATATATATTAAAGTCGTCATCCACTTTTTCAAGTTACGTTATGAGTTTCATGTCATGTCATTGGGAGTTCCTATTGCCATATACGCAGCATAATCTTAACTTCATCCTAGTATTACGATATACACCAAATAGTCACAATTCCAGACATCGTGCTATTACTAAGAAAGTCTCGTTTTGAAAAAGCGCTATATAACAGGCAATCGAACCCGGGACCCTTTGGTTGCCAGTTCTACTCTTTACTACTTGACCAACGAGATAGTCTTGTTTGTATTGTTAAATTATCATCTACCTATTCATACTTATTCGGAGTTAATGTCAATAAAGGGTGTTTCTTCGAAAAACTTTACCTTTTATTTAACAAATCATTATCCTCCCGCGTTGTTAAGCATCGCGGTAACTTATTAGCATCTGTATTTTATTGGATTGGGTGAGAGCAGTGACACGGCTCAATATCTTGAAAGTAAACTTTATATTTTAATCAGCAGAACTGTTAACTTTGGCTTAAAGATAATGACACCTTTTTTCGGGTTTTTTTTGTACCTCTAGAATCACCCTAAAACCAAAATTTCTAAAAAATATATAACATTATTTATTTCGATCCTCTCCTAACTTGCTCCACACACACCATTAAACCAGTAATAGTTCTAAAATTGTTTTCCAATTGAATTCTGTTTGCTTTACCATTTAGGGAGGCATGTTACAATGCGCCTGCGCGCCGTGACATGTGCCGGTAGCATGCGCAGGATTCGGGATTACAGACGTATTTCAGTATTAATTCAGTTTTAAATGTTTGTTTGGTTGATAGGAATGATGGATAAGTAGGATATTGTCTATTATATGTTAAAGTAACGTAATATAATATCACGCCTTTCATCCCGGAAAGGGTAGGCAGAAGTGCACATTATGGCACTTACTGCCACTGTAAAATGTAACACTCACTTTTTACTATTTATGTTATGAGTCCCATGTAATAGGGGGTGAGCCTATTGCCATATACCGGGCACAATTTCAGACTCCGTGCTACTACTGAGATTTTTTTTAAAAACCCAGTAATATGAATTTACACAGTGAATATTTCATAATGCGGCATTCAATTCAAACTCAGTACCCTCTCTTTACCCGACAGTTATAATAATGTTTACCTACCACAACAATGAGTAAGGAAGTGCACTCAATACGTATAATTACAGACGAAACCGGGGCATATCAATTAGTGTGATTAACGGACGGACGGACAGTTTTGCGGTCGGATTATAGGTCAGTTAGAATCGTCCCATCTGTTTTATAGCCTATTTTAAGCTACTGAAGGCTATTTCACACAGCAATAAGGATAGATGAAAATATTTCTATAAAAAATGTTGTTTTTTTAATTGTCATAGTGTTTTAATTGTGGGTGAGCCATGCTTCGGCATGCATGGGCCGGCTCGACCGGAGTGATATCAAGGCCTCACAGAAAACCGACGTAAAGCAACGCTTGCGTTGTGTTTCGTCGTGTGAGTGAGGTTACCGGAGGTCCAATTACCCCCTCCCTAGTGTCCCGAATCCTCGAATCCTCCACAATCATCAAATTCCCAATTCCCAAAAGGCCGGTAACGCACTTGTAACGCCTTGGTATTTCGGGTGTCCATGGGCGGCACCGATTGCTTACCATCAGGTGACCCGTATACTCGTTTACCAGTTTATGCTAAAAAAAATACAAGAAAAGAAACTAAAATAAAATACGGCATGTTTTTTAAGTTACGTTGCTGATTTTTTTTTACATTTTGTTCATAATGAATTATTTATTAATTAGTCACAAATGAATCGATTTCCATTAATTAAATCACGACTTTACCTACCCCTTTAATAGAAAAAAGCGTAATACAAAACCCTAAAAGCATAACCGTCCTATTCGCCGTAGTCGGCTAAAAACAAGGAACTCATCGCTACATGTACAAAGGAAACAGTCGTGTTGTTAGTTGCGCGTGCGTCGGTTTTTTAAACAAGCGGAACCAGTAAAGCGTTGCATAAGAAGTACATAGTTGTTATAAAATGTATTATTTCCATATTGATTGGGTTTTTAAGATGAATGAGTTGAATACTGATACCGGTTTTAATTTAAATTAACTAAAAATCGCAGGTTCGTCACGTATATTGAAATACTAGCGACCCGCCCCGGCTTCGCAGATGCATGTATTATACATATAAACCTTCCTTAAGAATTACTCTAACTATTAAAAGAAATTGCATCAAAATCCGTTGCGTAGTTTCAAAGATCTAAGCATACATATGGACAGACAGACTTAATCGTCAAAGTCAAAGTCAAAGTCAAAATCATTTATTTCAATTAGACCAGAAAGGCACTTTTGAACGTCATAACAAAATATTTGAATATTAAATAATAAGAAAAGATGTCAGTCTGTAGGTCAGTCCTCTAGTGAAGCTATTTGCTCTAATCGGGATAATAAGTATCCTATCATCTAAGGTCCCTTTTCACCAACGAAACTGATCATGATTACACCTAACAAAACTGATTTAAAGCGTCTAATCGAATTTAAAGCGTTTAAACGAAGTTACAGCTTCATTTTACATTTCACCGCTACAAACAGAAACTAGTTTACACGGAACTCAGTACAGAAAACACAGAACACAGAACTTAGGTTACTTTAAACTTCGGTTACGTGTAACTGAGTTTTTACAGAGCTTGGTGAAAAGGGACCTTAGTCAGCCCATACCCTGACTGTATACTAAATTTCATTATAATCAGTTCAGTAGTTTCAGCGTGATTGACATTGACATAATACACAAAATTTATTATACATAATACATATAATTAACACTATAGTTTAAACGAATATGGAAACTGCATGTTTTTTTTAATTGTAGTAGGTAGGCGCTTGGCCACTATCTCGACTGGTGGTAAACGAAGATGCGGCCTACGACGGAGCACGTCGTCCCATAAGCAACCTATTCACTCACTTCATTCATTAACACAACCATACACAATTAATTATGAATTCATAACCGCAAATCTTCTAAGAAAGTTTCAATTACTACAGCTTAAGCTATGACAAGCGCGACAATTATACACCTAAGCTATTAATATGCTGTGGTGCTACTCGACAAGCTGTCTTGTTGGCTACAGCTTATTTGTATGCAAGCTGTAGCCTATAGCCACGACAGGAGTACTCTCATTGTGTTGTAATGCCCTTTTATCATTTTAGCCGAAGACATTCTTAAGTAGACTTTGTTGTTTTTGGAAATGTAAATAGTACATACATACATGACCTGTTTCCCATGAAGGTAGGCAGAGATTCATCAACAACCTGTAATGCCCACTGCTGAGCAAAGCCTCTTCTCACACGGAGAAGGTTTGAGCATTAATCACCACGCTTACTCAATGCGGGTTGGCGATTACAAACTTATAATTAGAAATCATAAGCCCAGGTTTCCTCACGATGTTTTCCTTCACCGTTTGTCAGTGGTGTCTGAATAATTTTAGAAAGTACATATAACTCGGAAAAAGTCACATTGGTATTTGCCGTTGGTAGGTTTCGAACCCGCACCCTCGTGCGTAAGAAGCGGGCGTCTTAAACCTCCGGGCCACCACGACATTGCACGACAGGCAGAGATTATGGAACGCCAATTGCTACGATTGCTTCATACCTCTTTCGCTTCCTCAGCAGTCATCAGGCTTTTCATGCATGCTCGTCGGTTAAGGGTGTACATAGTGTTTAGTCGATCTTCTTCCATTTGCTACCAATTCGCTGCAGGCACACAGCGG